AGAACCATTTCATCATGCAAATTGTTTTTTGAGCATTTATGGTTCTTTATGGAACCTTTTTCTTTATTAAAGAACCCTTTTTGTAGGCATGTGCCGTCTGCGCCTTCTTATGTCTCAAAAATGTAATATTTCATTTTCCAGCCTCTCTTTAACGCTTACTGCCCCTTTAAGACTGAGGAGCTGTTTAATTAGTGAGATTTACCAGTTTTTGAATATGAGGCATTGTGGGTGTCAGTTCATTTTCCAGCTTGTAATTTGATATTAATTATTTCTGACTCGTACCTCGTTGTACCTTTCACTCCATCACACTTACGTGTTTGTAAGTAGGAGATGTTTTATTATTCTATCATGATTTGAATTTAATGATAACTAATTTTTGTTTTTTGAAAAGAAACACTACATTTTTTAAACCGCTGACATTTTTAAATCACTTTATGACACACATGAAAGTGTTTTACAGTGTTTTCCAATCAGTGCTTTATCTGATCAACCCTTCATTGGTTAAATCAGGAGCTCCACATCATGAGAAAACTGGAACTGAACTTTGTTCTTCAAACTAGCTCACAAGATCTCAGCTATCTTTTTGAAAAGGGTTCTTAAGTAAAGGGAATTGTTCTATTTAGAACCATGAGTTCTGTATAGAACCATTTGCATGTAACTCCAAAAAGGGTTCTTCTACTGTTACAAGCTTGGAATCACAACAGTAGCCTTTTTGATGCTGTGTAGAACCACATACAACACATTCTTCATCAATCTGAAGAACCATTTTACCATGCAAAGAACCGTTTCAGCATGCAGGTGGTTCTACATCCCTAAAAAATGGTTCGCTTTAAAGGGGTTCTTAGTAAAGAAGTGAAGATTATAGAATCATAACACTCAAATAACAATGTTCATGATTAAATGGTTCTCTGCATGGTGAAATGGTTCTTCAGATTGATGGACAATGTGTTCTATATGGCTCTATATAGCACCAAAAAGGGTTCTGCTACTGTTACAATGTCAAATATGTGACAACAGAAGAACCTTTCTTTGTGCTGTATAGAACCATTTTCAAAAAAGCTCTGTATAGAACCATAAACATATACAACACATTCTCCATCAACCTGAAGAACCATTTTTCTTTACTAAAGAACCCTTGAAGAACCACTTTTAAGAGTGGATATAAAACCATGGTTCTAAATAAATCCATTGTCTCTCCTAAAGAACCCTTGAAGAAGCATCTTTTTAAACAGTGTATATAAAACCTATTGCTCTAAACAGAACCATTATCTTTACTAAAGAACACTTGAAGGACAGTAGTTTTTAAGAGTGTACATAGAACCCATAGTTCTAAATAAAACCTCTGTCTTTGGTAAAGAACCCTTAAAGAACAATCCTTTTTAAGAGTGTATATAGAACCCATGGTTCCAAATAGAACCACTGTCTTTACTAAAGAACCTTTGAAGAACCATCTTTTTTACAGGTGTATATAGAAACCATGGTTATAAATAGAACCACTGTCTTTACTAACAAACCAATAAAGAACAATATTTTTAAGAGTGTATATAGAACCCACGGTTCTAAACAGAACCATTGTCTTTACTGAAGAACCCTTGAAGAACCGTCCTGTTTGAAGTTTTTAGTTTAAAGCTTTGTGTTTAAAGGTGTTAAATGGTTTAAAGACTCTGTGTTGCTGAAATCTCTGATGTTCCTCCAGTTGGCCGAGGTCCAGCCGCCTGTCTGGTCATCTCTCTCTTGCTGTCTCCTTCTTTTCCTCTTTCTCAGACTGTCACTGAGCTGGGGGGAGGGGTGGGGGGGTACGCTGACTGCTGCGGGTCAGAAGGTGTGGACAGGAGAAATCGGGTTGGAGAGGGGGATGAGTGGCAGACAGGTGTCTGAGCTTCTCTCTTTTTCCACCTGCTCCAGTTTTCCCACCACCAGCCACAGACTGGATGTAGGTCAGCAAGGTGTCTGAGGCCTGAGTGGGCGAGCGTTGGGTGGGCGGTTGGTTGGGGAGGGGTGGGGAGGTTGTGTAGGAGGGGGGCATGCGGGGGGGATATAAGATTGACACCAGATTGCTCATTAAGAATCCCAAGCAAGCAAAAGTCTGGCAGTGTGATTTCCAGACCCGCCATCTGCTTTGTCTTTTCTGGGCTCCATTCAGATCGTCTGATAACGACTCTCTTTGTCCCCACCTAATCCCAACAGTCACGTGACCCCAGGGGCGCCTGATTGGCCGGCCACGGGCACTCAAAAGCCTGGCGCAGGCCGGCACGGGCAGTTAAGGTGGCAAGAGGAGAGCGGAGCGGGCGCCGGAGGGAAGCAGGGATTGGATTAAAGAGTGAAGACGCTGGACGTGCTGGTGACTGAACAGGAGAAAGAGAAGGAAAGAGGGATGTCCTGACCAAAGAGATGAAGAGCCAGCAGCTGAATGAATGTGAAGTAAGTGGAAGCGCTGCGGATGTAGAGGCACCTGTGGAGCCGAGGAGTGATGGGTGGAAAATATCGTGGGCTGCTTTATGTATTTTTCGTCTGCTTTATATTTTACTGTGAATTTATGCACAGATTCATTTTCCAGCCTCTCTTTAAACAGGCTGGTTTTGTTACTGCCCCTTTAAGGCTGATGTATGTAAATGAGCTCTGTTCTGATTGGCCTCAGTCCGAGCTGAAACACTCCTTATAACTTCAGTGTGGATGGGCGGAGCTAAACTGGCATGGACTTTTGATCTTTTGAAACTTTATTGCTGCATCAAACTCCTTTATTAAAACAGCAATAACATTAACTCTCCTTTTCACTGCTATTGGAACTGATAACTTTACAGGAGAAGGAAAAAACATACTGTACTTTTAATGTAAGTCAATGGAACCAGATATTTTTTCCAAGTCATTCTGGGTCGTTTCTTTTGGTCCATTCATTATGAAATTTACACACAGTGTAAAGAGCAACAGGCATTTTCACATTATGTCAAAAACTGAAAAACAACAAAAATGGAGGTACAAGGTTTTGTTCCAACACCAGTTCTATGGGTTAATAATTGAACTGCAGGGTTAATCAATGATTCCTCATATTCATCACAGTGCTGTGGAAAAGTTTTAGACCCAGGAGAAAATCAAAATTAGAAATCTGTTCATCTGGACTGCAAGTATTTATTTGCTTGGAAAAATAAACACTAAGATTTGAATATAAACAACATTAATATAACAAATAGTACATTTATGTGAATGTATGTGAATCTGTTCCAAAGCTGCTCTCAAGGAAGCCCAGTATTATATAACATAGCACTTATCATCCAATCACTGCTTTATCTAATCGATACTTCATTATTTTAAATCACGAGCTGCTGATGGAGTTTGTGATGAGAAATCTGGAACCAAACTTTGTTCTTCAAACTAACCCACAAGATCTCAACTACGTTTTAAAAATGAAGAATTCTTGTTACTTTTTGCTTTTTATATTAGTTTGTATTTATTCTAATGATATTTGGTGATTTGAGAAGCACAAACACACTCACTGCTGAGATAAATGGCTTCAAATTCACTCTTAAAAAAGGTTCTTCAAGGGTTCTTCAGTAAAGGCAATGATTCTATTTAGAACCAGGAGTTCTATGTATTACCATTTGCATGCTTAAAGGTTCTTTGCACGGTGAAACTGTTCTTTAGATTGATAAAGAATGTTTGTATATGGTTCTATATAGCACCAGAATGGGTTCTGCTGACATCAAAACACAGCAGAACCCTTTTTGAGCTTGTAAAATCACCATATATCATTAGAATAAATACAAATAAATATAAGTACGGTAAAAAGTAACGAGAATTCTTCATTTTTAAAAAAGTAGTTGAGATCTTGTGTGCCTGTTTGAAGAACACATTATTCATAGAACCATATTCACAAGTTTCTACATAGAACACATTAAAATTAGGAAGGAAAATTCAGTTTTCCATGATTTGGGCCTTTTAAATATTACAAACAATAAGACAAAATGTCTAATTGTGTTTTTAGATTTAATTCAACGTTTTAAGCATCCTGTGAACAAGAAGTGAGTAAAATGATAATACGCTGTTTTTGCTGATATTCATTTTTTCTAGTCTGCCTTGAGATTCAATCACTGCTTTTGAAATATGATAAATTCTGGACATTATTTATTATTATTTATTAACTCCAGCTTTGTCAGTCATTTTAGAATCTCATGATGTTTATGATTGTCTGAAAGCTGTTCAGGACGAGCTGATCAGACTCATTTTACACATCTATCTGCAACTGAACAGATTTTATATTAATGAAAACATTGATTCTAACCGTTTGAACAGTAGTTTATGGTATGAGCCCTTTAATGCAGTTTTACAGAACTATCTCAGGAAGTTCACCGTGATGAGACCCTGGCTGCTGTGGTTCTTGCTCAACACGCATCACTCAGTATAAATAGACTGTGAGAGTAGTGGATTGGGTCAAGGCTTTTGTGAATGAGGTCACTGAAATTCCCATAGACTTTATCATAATCAGGCTTATTACCTCCCAATAATGACAGCAGTCATATGACAGTCACACGTAACAGTCATAAACTCCTATTTTTAACCCAGTTTATTGTCCCTGCTGTTTCAGGCGTATGACCCTGTAAAGCGTCTGAGTAAAATGTTTTATTTTCTGTGTTGGCCTTCAGCTCTGAGTCATGCAGCACTTGACTGTTTATTTTAGGGGGCAGCGTCACGGAAAACAGAATTTTCCTCACTTTCTTTGAAAGCATGTAAACACTGTTGAAATTTCAGGCCATAAAAGGAAACCAAACTACAAAAACAGCCTGTTTTGAGTTGACTGTTGTTGTGATGTCACACTATCACATCCACATGTACCCGCCTATTCACTCACTTTAAACTCAAGCCAGACTGCTTTATGAATGAGGGCAGCCAATCAGAACAGAACTCACTTACATATATCTGTCTTAGAGAGGTGGTAATAAAAACAGCCTGTTTAATTCTGAGGGCTGTAAAAATGAATTTTGACTGAAGAAAAGTAAGAGTGATGTGGAATATGGGCCCTTTAATAGCAGCAGTAGGTCTAATGGTCTAATACAACTTTAGCTAGAATTTAAAACCTTTTCACACCTAATGCTGAGCCTCTCTCTCACTCTCCCCTTCCAGATTTTGAGCTTTACTGTCCAAACATAAGAGGAGGAGCCAAAGCAGCAAAACCAAAGGAGAGCAAGCAGAAGACCAAACCTGAGTGAACAGAGGAGCGAAGGAAAATAGGATGAAGCTGGAAGCATCTCTTGGAGACATGAGCGAGTGGAGGGAGGTGGACTTTGCCCTCAACTGCACCTACATCGTCCATGACCAGGCGTCGGAGCCCAGCTTCAGCCTGCCCAGAGCCATGACCTCCATCCCCCGCAACCTCACCTTCCAGTATGGCCCAGACAACGAGGTAGGAGCTCCTGCGCTTATGTTTGAGTGAGGAGTCAGGAGGTGCAGCCTGAAACACTGACTTTAGTGCGAATGGGCTGCTTTAGGCTGAATGGGTGTATGGAGATGTGACATCACAAAAACAGTCAATTCAGAATGGGCTGTTTTTGCAGCTTGGTTTGTGTATAGGGACTCTGTGAGCTGGGGAGTGAACAGTACAGTGTTTACATACACATCAAACCTTTATTTTAAAGCAAATATTTCATCTATTTTAGCAAGGAAACATCTGTTTACCATGATATGGGCTCTTTAAGGAATCTCTAATGACTTACTGAAGTTTGCTTCTTTAGTTTTAGTGCACAGGGCTAAACAACTAATGCAAGCTTGTACACCACCAATTAGCATGGTGCTAACTGCAGGCCTAACTCATCTCATTTGCCTTCAACCATGCTGAGTCATTAAAGGGCCCACATCTTCCATTTTTCTTGCTTTTTTATGTTTTGTGTACCCAAAAACGCTCATTTTTACATCATGGACTATGACTGATACATTTAAATGAGCTCTGCTCTGATCAGAATCTTTATTTTAGAACAGCGAAGTCTGTTTTACCATGATGTACGCTCTTTAATCCCTGATAATCTCAGGCTTATTACATACCAAGGCTTATCATTCAGTAACTACAGGGACTTCAGTGCAAACTGGCTGAGCTATTCTTAGATTATAGAAGCGTGCAGTAAAACTTTGGGCCTGCCGGTGGGTTCTGGCTATTTAAGAGGTTAGTTAATCAATAATAGACTTGATTATGTGGTTTCAGATGCCTTTATCTATAAACATGGAATAAAAACTGGTGTTTTGAATTCAAGGTCAATAAAATATGTTGCTCTGCTGCTGTTATTCAGCATTCAGGAAAGAAACCCAGCGAGGGGCTTTTTAACACAGGCTTTTAATGCAAATACAGCTCCTTTGGTTTAGTGTAACTTTGTCTCCTCGTCATACGTCAACGTAAGAAGATGCTGAAGGAAATAATGTCATTTTTAAAATGTGTTTAAATGTTGCTAAAAGCTAGACTAGGTTAATAAAAGTCTCATCAGCTTGTATTCCTTCTTTCAGCCAGTTAGTAGCTCCGCTGAAATGTACATTTATGACCATGCATGTCGTCCCACACTGAACTGTAGGCTGATAAACGCTCTCTGGTTTGCTGTTCGTGCCACGATGCTCCAGTTTAAACCTGGTTTCAGGGTTGCTGGCTGAAGCCTGAGCACATCTCAAACTGCTGCTCTGGACTTTAAGTCGGCATAAAGACGTGAGGCCGCTGAGAAAATGTGTTTTAAAAGAAGCTGTCGAAGAATTTAATATAATACAGCTTTAACACAACACTAAAAGCGAAACTCTGTTATGGGGTGAGACGGAAAACTGTACACCTGATTTATCAGCTGCTCCAGACAGGAGCGGCGCAGGAGGCGGAGCCACGGCCTCCTTACTGGGTTATAATCAGAGTTAAGGAATTGGCCCAGTTGGGCCGGAAGCAGTCTGGGGATCGCCTTTCCCTGATTCTCATCGGTCTTATCCCTCTCAGCCAGGAGAGAAAGAGAGAGTGAGGCGCATTAACCTAAACAGCCCACTGACCTGAATGGAGCAATTAGTGTCAGACCAGCTAAACAATTAGCTTCTAAATCTGGAGATCTTCAAAGAGGACGAGGAACAGCGCAGAGATCTGCACTCACTAAGATCTGAACCTCTGTGTGTGTCAGTAGGTCAGTGTGTGTGTGTGTGTGTGTGTGTGTGTGTGTGTCAGTAGGTCAGTGTGTGTGTGTGTGTGTGTGCGCGTGTGTGTGTGAGGAATCAGAACAGAAAGTCAACAGATGACACACTAATCACACCAACTCTCTCTCTCTCGCTCTCTCTATGTCTCTCTCTCGCTCTCTCTCTTTATGTCTCTCTCTCTCTCTATGCCTCTCTCTCTTTATCTCTATCAATCTCTCTTTTTCTAACTCTTTCTCTCTATTATATTTCTTTATTAAGTATAATTTCTCTGTACATTTTCCACTCCTGATTATTGATTAGAGTGATTAGTATCATTCTTATTGATTATTATTAGGGTTATTGAACGCTGCTGCTGGACCAGAGGTTCCTCGCTGCTCGGCCTTTTTCGCACACACTCGTCACTCTGTCACTTTTTCTCTCTTTGCTGTGGTTTTCTTTCTTCCTTCCTCCTCCTCCACTCTCTCTCTCTCTCTCTCTCTCTCTCTCTCTCTCTTCCTTCATGCATGGTCAGATATTTATTCTTTATATCTGACGCTCTGTTCCTCTCTCTGTTCTTTTTTCGGCTGTTGTGCAGAAAGGTGTGAAAATGTGGTCTTCATAAACACTCTCTCTCTCACGCGTACACTCTGAACACGCTGAATATTCAGCCTCAGCACACACACACACACACACACACACAGAGCTCAGCATGCTCTTGTGTTTAGAGAGTGAGAAAAAACTAAACTTCTCACACTTTCACCAGGCAGTGCTGGAGAGCCGCCTCGCTGTTTCTGTTAATCTGAAATCTCTCCCGGCAGCAGCTCTGCCTCTCCACCACGAAAACAACGTCCTACAGAGTGAAAACATCCTAAATCCATCCAAAATATTAATATTTCTCATTCTGAGATTGTTCAATGTATATTGTAAGACTGTTTAACCTAGTTTAAGACATTGTTTGTTCATTTTATCTTATTAAACAAACAATTCGATGCTGTCGGAACAAAACAAGCTTGTATCTCAAAAAAAACCTGCTTTACTTTTAATGTAAGTCAATGGAACCAGACTTTTTCACAAGGCCTATTTTCTCATTTCCTTTGGTCCATTCATCGTGAAATTTACACACAGTGTAAAGGGCAACAGGGACTTTTAGATTATGTCAAAAACTGAAAAACAACATGAATGAAGATACGAGGTTTTGTTCCAAAAACAGTGAATTGCTTTGTGTCCTAAAACCATCTGCCAGTGGGACAAAACAATCGAAAAGAAGTATAAAACATTTAGAAAATAGACTGAATGAACTTCTAAGTGAACTCAAATTGAGAAATATTACATACACTATCCCTCAAAAGTTTGGGGTCACTTGTCATAGTAATAACTGTTATTTAGTAATAACTCATACAGTGACTGAAATGCTATAAACACCAAAACTTAAACCAACACTTTATTCACAGTTTATAGTATTTTGGGAACAATATAAAGTTAGAACATGGTAAAAAATATGGAAGAGTTATTAAATAATAAGCTATAATTTTCTGTTTACTGTAAAAACTCTGATTATCTGTTTATTAGTGAGATTTTGGTTATGGGTTTTCAAATATGAGGCATTGTGGGTGTCAGTTTCTTTATCAGTTCATTCTCAATGCAGATTTATCAGATATCATGAATCACTTACAGCTCAGTTTATCATCAGAACACCTTCATTATTACAGCTTCATACAGACTGACTGAAACTCATTCATCAGAGAATCATTTTATACACAGCTTCACAGAAACTGGCTTATATGAATGAAATCAGACCCCAAACTTGTGAGCGGTAGTGAATATCATCTACTGTTAATCTGTTTTCACTGGCTGAGAGATCTCATTGTTCGGCAGTGTGTTCTCTCTCTTCCTCTTTCTCTCTTTCTTTTCTCTTTTCCTTTTCTGACTCACACTCTCTCTTTCATGCAAATGACCTTGTAAAACTTCCTCTGAAGACGTTCCAGAAGCCACTCTATCAGCATGCTTTCGCAGGCCTTACGCTAAAGCAAACCAGGTTTATTAAAAGTACTTGAACAGTAAATTCTTAAAGCAATAGTGAAAAGTAGTGACAGGAACAGCCTGAATTCAGTCTGTGTTTATAGGTAACTGTGAGTCACACAGAGTCAGAAACCACATAATCAAGACTAGACATTCTTGAACAACTCCACATGCTTTGAGACAAGTGATGCAGTTAGCACCAGGCTATATGGTGGGCTATAGGTTTCCCTCACTAGCTACATTAGCCTGGTAGCTCCAGCGCTAAAATTAAAGAAGCAAACTTCAGATGCCAAAACTACACAATCGAGGTCTATTAGAGAAACTGAACAACTCTACATGGTTTAAGGCATTTAGTTATGCAGTTAGCACCAGGCTAATTTTTGGCTATAAGTTTCCCTCACTAGCTACATTAGTTTAGTAGCTCCAGGGCTAAAACTAAACAACCAAACTTCAGATGCCAAACACGTCTCTGCTGATTCACTGTGTTTGGAGTGACATGAAGAGTGTGTAGTGTTAGCCGTGTATTAATCCATAAAATTTACTTGAGATTAAAAGCTCTTTTACAGTCCTGACCATGACAGTCACAAACAACAACATACAGCACCAAAAATAAACAATAGAGATTAATAATTAAAAAACCAAACAGCTGCCCGGGGGCACGTGGCCTCTCGGGAGCGTAGAGTCTTTGTAATGTGAATGGTCATTCAGAGGCTTACGGGACGTACGCTCAGCCAGTGAAAGGTAGATACTAAATGCACCCACTGGGCCTGCATACCCATGATGCATTGCAAAAACAGTCAGAGTCAAACTGTGCCAAATGATGTGGTCGTCAGTGTAGTGGACTGTTCAGACGGTTTTAGTGAGCGCACCCTGAAGGAGCTGGGTGACCTTAGTTTAGAACATTCGTAATTTCAAATTTACATTTTGTAGTCTGAAATATGAATTAAGCGACTTCAGCAGCTGTAAACTCTCTGCACGCCGATTTCACATGAGTCTCCGATGTGGACTGAATGAGAATGAAGGGTTTCCGGTGTGACGGTCAGTCCTTAGTGATTTCCTGAGTGTCCATTGGTCAGTTTCACACAGAATGTAGATGGACACACCAATCCACCAGTTCCACATGGTGAGAGGCAGATGACGTGTATCTCAGCCCCTCTTCATAGGCTCATAACTCCGGATGTGAGTCTCGTATGATCTCGTGATAAGATGGAATGGAAAGGGCGACTCTACAGATTATGGGGGGTCAGACAGGGAGGGTCTGTGTTTCAGTAACTGTGAAGGGAATAGATCTAGGAGACACCTGCCTCTCGCTTTCGGTTTACTTTTCTGCCCTGTTCATTTAATAAAGAGCATTATCGAGCAGAAATTATTACCTCTACTGACTCTTCCTCTGAGTGACGCCGCAATACGAATAGCCCCGCCTCCGCTGTCTGCGCGTCCGAGGCTGGTCACTTTCCTCCAGCGGTTTCCTCTCTCACTTCCCATCCCATCCGTTCTGTGAAGGCATCCTCCTTTACCGCTGATGAAGCATCAGACTCTGCCTGGAAAGCCCACATCCTCTGAGCCTCCCTATTCCTGGACAGTCCCCTTCACAAAGGCCTACTGTGTCCACTACTTTTGCCTTCAGAGAAAAAGAGAAACAGAGAAACAGAGAGAGAGAGATGTGTGGGAAACTGGGGCTTCACTGCCGCCTCTTCACGGCTCTGTGGCTAAATTCTTCCACACAAACTGACCTCTCAATGCTCCGGAAACAGGTTCTGTCACAGTCACTCAGTTTACAACAGAAAACCAGCATTTACAGCGAGTCATTCATTCAACACTCAATCTACAGGATGAATGAATAACTGACTCTAAATGTAGGTATTGTGATATAAACTGAGTCTGTTCTACAGTTTCTCATTAGGCTGAATGAATAACTGACTCTAAATGTAGGTATTGTGATATAAACTGAGTCAGTTCTACAGTTTCTCATTAGGCTGAATGAATAACTGACTCTAAATGTAGGTATTGTGATATAAACTGAGTCAGTTCTACAGTTTCTCATTAGGCTGAATGAATAACCGACTCTAAATGTAAGTATTGTGATATAAACTGAGTCTGTTCTACAGTTTCTCATTAGGCTGAATGAATAACCGACTCTAAATGTAGGTATTGTGATATAAACTGAGTCTGTTCTACAGTTTCTCATTAGGCTGAATGAATAACCGACTCTAAATGTAGGTATTGTGATATAAACTGAGTCTGTTCTACAGTTTCTCATTAGGCTGAATGAATAACCGACTCTAAATGTAGGTATTGTGATATAAACTGAGTCTGTTCTACAGTTTCTCATTAGGCTGAATGAATAACCGACTCTAAATGTAGGTATTGTGATATAAACTGAGTCTGTTCTACAGTTTCTCTGTTTTTCTACCTCACAACAGTAGTTACAAAAGAACATGTTGGTGGGTGGAACGTGGATGTGTCAGTTCCTTTCCCATGATAGCCCCTGTTGCGTATTGTTTTACCGATTGCAAAACTCAGTGCCTGGAAGAGAACCATGTCTGTTGTCAGGTTTCAGCTGCTGCTCTCATGTTTTGTTTTTCCTTGAAAGTCCTGGACAGAAACTCGGTGTACTTTCATGTTTACTGCAAAAAATAATATCTTAACGAGTAAAAACATCTTAAACGTACTCGATATGTCTGATATTTCTCTCTGTGAGTTTGTTTAGATTTAATTTCATCTAATGAAAGTGTCTTATTCTTCTGTTTTCTATTGGTGGATCATTTGATTCAAGCATTGATTCACAACACTCTTTAAAAAGATGGTTCTTCAAGGGTTCTTTAGTAAAGGTAGCGCTTCTATATAGAAGAATCTTCATTGCACTGTGAAAAGGTTCTTCATGTTGATGGATGGTGGAGAATGTGTTGTATATGGATCTCTGTAGAACCTTCTGGGAAAGGGTTCTATATAGCTTCTATTGTTACAGGCTTGACATCATAACCGTAGCAGAACCCTTTTTGGTGCTATATAGAACCATATAAAACACATTCTAGAACCACTTCACCATGCAAAGAACCATTTATGCATGCAAAGGGGTCTTTGAGTGTCTGTGGCTCTATATAGCAGCATTGTCTTTACTAAAGAACCCTTGAAGAACCGTCTTTTTTAAGAGTGTACATAAAATGATCTATAAAATGTTCAGGGATAAATAATCTCAGAATGTTCTTAAAACCTCATAAAGAGAAATATTAGATGAATATTCCACATATCACAATCTGCGGTGTGATGTCAGCAAAATAAAGAAATATTAAAATGAGCATCACAGATCTGGAGAGCTTTCACTCCCCCTTCAAAAGCTTGAGGTCGAGCTTGTTAAGGGGGTGGGTGGGGGGAACACGTGGCAGATGGGTCAGTGCATTTCAGCGTGATCGCACACGTACGCTTACACGCATATATATATATATATATATATATATATATATATATATATATATAAATACACACACACACACACATATATACTCACAGGAAGTAGGTTAAGTCTCAATCATTAACTTTCGTTTGGGCAGCTCGTGGGGGCTCAGTGTCCTCAGACAGCAGTGGGTGTGTGTGTGTGTGTGTGTGTGTGGGGTTGAAGCGTGTGTTTGTGTGATTGAGAGGCACCGTTGGCCCCGTCGTGAAGCTCCCCCCACCCCCTCCCCCCTCCCACCAACTCCACCCGTTAAACCTTTCTTGAGACGCTAATCGCTAAAGACGGACCAATTAGTCACGCAACACAAACGAAGCACAATTCTGCTGTCGGTCCTGCTCTCGTCTCTCAGCCCTGACCACCACCACCCCCCACCCGAACCGTCCCACCCCCCTCCACCTACCATCTAACTCTGACTCTGCACTGAAAAAAGAGACGCTGTAATTGCATGTGATTCAGATATGAGCATGATGACAGTATTATTTACATTTTTTTTTACATTTACATTTATGGCATTTGGCAGACGCTCTTATCCAGAGTGACTTACAATTTGAGCATTTTACACAGGTAGGCGAAGGTAGTGTTAGGAGTCTTGCCCAAGGACAATATTTACATATTTAGTGCAGGAAAGTAACCGTGTAAGCGATGCTGTGGTTACAATATGCAAATATAGATATTGCAAGTATATATATATATATATATATATATATATATATATATATATAGATATAGATAGATAGATAGATAGATAGATAGATAGAACCTTGAAGAACCATCTTTTTAAAGAGTGTACATAAAATGATTTAAAATTGTTAATTTGTAAGTAAATTGTAAGTAAATTGTTTAGAAACAGGATGAATAATCTTAGAATGTTCTTAGAAGTTCATAAAGAGAAATATTAGATGTATATCACACATATCACAATCTGCCGTGTGATGTCAGACTATTGTTCTGTGAGAGCAGCGTATGTAAAATGTTAAGAATGCAGAGTTAAAAGCGTGCAGTAACCGTCTGTGCGAATATGACAAATATGAATTATGAAAAGTCCCAGGCTGATTTACACACTAAGGCTGATTATTACTAATTGGACTTGGGGCTAAGTGGAGCTCGTGAGGCCGGCCGTGTGCACTCTGGGCTCCTGGATTTTATTTTTTATTTCTCTTTTCATTCATTTTAAGATTGTATGAGTTAAGAAATACATAGTCAAATTAAATCTGTAAAGATAGCACCGGAGACCTGTGGGCCTGGACATGTGGATGAAATTTTGGTTGGGTTCTAAGAAACACAGCCTTAAAAGTGGTCTATAAAGCTCTTTGAAGCAAACCCATCATGCGGCCATTTTAAAATTGTGCTCCTGCATATCACAGCCTTCATATCGTAACATTTCACCATGCAAAGCAAACAAATGGTTCTTTGAGTGTTCTACTGTCTTTACTGAATAACCCTTGAAGAACCTTCCTAAAGCATTCAGTCAGTGCTGATGCTCTACAAAGTGTACATGCAGTAAACAGTTATGTGCAAAAGTTTGCACACTCCCAGTCAAACTCCCAGAGTTATTTATAAATACTGTTTGTTTGTTATTGAAAATACAAAATATAAAATGTACCTTTTGCATATTTCATGTTTTATTTTTCCCCCATTGTGTTAAATTCAGTAAACAAACAGTAATTGTGTATTAAAGTGTGTAGTAGTGAGTCTCTGTAGAGGATGTGTTCACTTGTTTACACTCAAAGAATCAACATGTAAACTGATCAGGGGTGTTGAAACCTTTGCCTATGATTGCATGTGTAAGGGTTAAGGAGGTTTAAACACCCCCCGTCCCCCCCACCACCACCCCACGGCACGTTACGGCCCACATACTGTCCCCCAGCTCGGCATTACCACACATATAGTACCGCTTTTGGCCTGCGGGGGCAGCAGTGAGGCAAACACCCCAAAGATTCGGGGCAGCAGGTCAGTAGAGCAGGATGAGGGAAAGTGGACGCTTAAGTCTGAACCCATTTGTCTGAACTGATTAACTTAAGTGTGTCACCTTTGGCTGTTCCGGCTGTTTGGAGCTGGAATGTGTTCTAGACTGGAACTGATTATTAGGGTTTTAAATCTGTGACCTGACAAAGATTCAGCTCAGACTGGTAAGAATTCCTAATTCAGTTACTCAATACATCATGAAATTTCACACTTCACTAATATATGATTTGGGTCTTTTGGTTCAGTTCACGATTATTTAGGCCTAAATACAAACCCAGTTCTGAAAAAGTTGGGACATCTGGATAAAATTCAGATAAAAACAGAAAACAGTGATTTTCAAAGTTCTCTGGAGTGATGGAGCTCCAGAACTGACCATCCAACATCAGTACCTGACCTCTCTAATGCTCAATCAAATCCTCACAGCAATGTTCCAACATTTAGATGCCTTTCCAGAAGAATAGAGGCTGTTACTGCAGTACAAACTCACTATTAACACCTTCATTTCAGAAGAAAATGATTGTTTTGAACATTTTGACACATCTTAAGCCTGAACTAAAGCTTTTCAATGGCATTTAGGCTTGGACTAGGCCTAATCCCTGTCCAGGAAACTGATGTTATGCTGCAAATTGATTTACTGATGGATTGATTGGTTTGTTTATTGATTGCTCTGTGCAGGTGACCGGCGTTTTCAGTAAAGAATACATCCCCCAGGGGACGCGCTTCGGACCCCTGCAGGGCGACGTTTACACCAAAGACAGCGTTCCTCCTCAGGCCAACAGGAAATACTTCTGGAGAGTGAGTGATGTCATTTGGTTTATTTGCACGGGAAGCCTTGCACCACCATAACCCGGCAACCACACACACACACACACACACACACGCCTCTGCTGGCACATGCACACACGTTGGCAACAATGCAGCCAAACCAGTTCAGAAGCAACTTTCCAAGGAACTCCATACAGTTTCTACACACACACACACACACACACACACACACACACACACACACACACACGCACACACTTCAAAGTGCAGGAATACACATGGTGTGTTTAGTGTGACGAGGCCTCCAGGCTGTACAGAATGAGGGAGCTTAACTGGAAAATACAGAGGAAGTGTGAGGAGATCTTATCCTCCGCGTACCTGAACTGCACTGATGCTCCTCTGAGCTCAGACAGGGTTTAAACACCCCGCCACTCTCTCTCTCTCACTCTCGCTCTCTCTCTCACGCTCTCTCTGTTCTCTCTCTCTCTCACTCTCTCTCTGTTCTCTCTCTCTGTTCTCTCTCTCTCTCACTCTCTCTCTGTTCTCTCTCTCTCGCTCTCTCTCTCACTCTCTCTCTGTTCTCTCTCTCTCTCACTCTCTCTCTGTTCTCTCTCTCTGTTCTCTCTCTCTCTCACTCTCTCTCTGTTCTCTCTCTCTCGCTCTCTCTCTCACTCTCTCTCTGTTCTCTCTCTCTCGCTCTCTCTCTCTCACTCTCACTCTCTCTTTGTTCTCTCTCTCTCTCACTCTCTCTCTGTTCTCTCTCTCTCGCTCTCTCTCTCTCTCTCACTCTCTGTTCTCTCTCTCTCTGTTCTCTCTCTCTCTGTTCTCTCTCTCTCTGTTCTCTCTCTCGCTCTCTCTCTCTCACTCTCTCTCTGTTCTCTCTGTTCTCTCTCTCTCTCACTCTCTCTCTGTTCTCTCTCTCTCGCTCTCTCTCTCTCACTCTCTCTCTGTTCTCTCTCTCTCTCACTCTCTCTCTGTTCTCTCTCTCTCGCTCTCTCTCTCTCACTCTCTCTCTGTTCTCTCTCTCTCTTTCTCTCTCTCTCCCTCCCTCTTTCTTTCTCACTTTCTTCTTTGTTTGTCTGTCTTATCTCTGTCTTTCTGTTCTTTCTGATTTTTCTCACTCTCTCTTTCTCTCTTGCTCTCTTTTTCCTCTCTCTTACTCTATACTTTCTAACTCTCTATCTTTCTTCACTTCTCTCTTCCTCTTCTGTCTTGTTCTTCTCTCTCATTCTCTTCGTCTGTCTCTCCCCTCTCTCTTTCTATCCCCCCAGCTCCCCCAGTCAGTCTCTCTCTCTCTCTCTCTCTCTCTCTCTCTCTCTCTGTGTGCGTGTGTGTGTGTGTATGTGTGTGTGTGTGTGTGTTTGTATGTGTGGGTTTTCCTGAGGGTTCTCCAGTGCCTTTTCCTTCCTTCATTTCCTGTAAGACCCACGTCAGCTTCCTGCTCACTTACGGCTCCTCTGCAGCGATTCACACGACCTCAGAACAGGTGTGTGTGAAAGAGAGAGAGAGAGAGAGAGAGAGAGACAGAGAGACAGAGAGAGAGAGAGAGAGAGAGAGACAGAGAGACAGAGAGAGAAGATAAAGCAGCAGAAACAGCCTCTTTTTGCGTATCAGCCTTAGATTAGAGAGTTGAACTGAGAACTGAGAGTCAGTTTGATGACAGTCAGTTAATCTGTTCAGGTTCTGGTTCAGACGCTTCACGCAGGAACATCAGTAAAACACTGTAAAGATAAAGACACACTAAAATGAAAATCACAGCACAGTTACAAACAGGAGAACACCAGCTCAACACTCACAATACAACAAACACATAAATGAGCTGAAAAACTATCCAACTGAAATGTGCGGAGATGCGTGTGGTGTGTGAATCAAAGCCGCGGTGCTGACTGAGGTCACAGTGCGCTGTAGATGCGCAGAGCGCTCTCGTCTGGCTTTCCAGTTCTGAAAAAATGGATGTGGTTGCAGGTGTTAATTTTTTTGTGGTCGAACAGTTCAAAGAAGACTTCAGAGACTTTACACACTGACCAACAGGGACTTTAACCCCTTTTTCACCAACAATAAATAACTTTATTTGGCATTAAAGAGGCACAAACTGAACATTTGTTCATTTGCAGTTGATAGTGTTGTACAAATAGGCTGAGCACTGGGGAGAAATAATGGGGGGGGGGTTATTTTATTTTTTTGTCATTATCAGTACATATTCCAAAATGTTGATTGCAACCTGATGCTGTAAAGAACTATATAAATATACATATATATGTAGCTGACAGTATGTGACTAAAGTGCCCTTGAGCAAGGCACGTAACCCCCAACTGCTCCCCGGGCACTGTGGATAGGGCTGCCCACCACTCCGGGCAAGTGTGCTCGCTGCCCCCTAGTGTGTGTGTTCACTAGTGTGTATGTGGTGTTTCACTGCATGGATGGTTTAAAATGCAGAGGTGAGATTTCCCCATTGTGGGACTAATAAGGGTCACTTAATCTTAATCTTATATATATTTATCTTAATCTTATATATTTATATATGTACATATGCGCATAGGAAAGCCCACAAGTTCACATCATTCCTGTTAATAATGTTTGTTTTTGTTTTGTATTTAAATATTCATTTTAAAGCCATTAGATATATAACACTATAGGATATATGGTGACTGTAACTTCTTCGAGGGTTCTTTAGTGAATACACTGGTTCTGTATAGAACTATGAGCACTCAAAAAAACATTTGCATGCCTAAATGTTTCAGACTGATGGAGAATGTGCTGTATATGGTCCTATTTAGCTACTAAAATAGCGACATCTTGACATCCTAACAATAGAAGAACCCTTTTTGGTGCTAGATAGAACCACCTACAACACATTCTCAATCCGAAGAACAATGTCACCATGTTAAAAACCAGCTAATCAGGCAAATGGTTCTCTGAGTGTTCATGGTGCTGTACAGAACTGCTGTCTTTACTAAAGAACCCTTGAAGAACCATCTTTTTCGAAGTTCGCCCACTTTTATCAGACCAAATCTGCACCGTCAGTGATTAAAGTTGTGCTCTGTGCTTCACACAGTGTGATTTATTGCCCCCCCGGCGGCCCTCGGGCAGCGTGCAGCAGTGTTTTCAATACGCCCACTTGTGGACTCCGCCCACCAGAGTGCTTTAAAAGGTGTTGGTGATTTTGACACCACTGACAGAAACAGAAACCCGCTCACTCACTCGCTCACTCGCTCAGTCTCTGTGAGAGGAGAATAGTCGCAGACCAGCCAAGCGTTCAGGTGACAGAACAGAGGAGACGAAGGAGAAGAACGTGCGCTGTACATGGCCGAGGTGAACACACTGCTCTACTGCCTCTCTCTCTGCTGTGTTTAAGGTGGACTGGGGTTTAAGGTGTTCATGGTGCTGGATTTAGTCTGGCGGTGGGTGATGTGTGGTGACGGCGGTGTTACTGGTTAATGTGTGGGTGATTGTCTATCAGCTGTGACAAGATCATTTATTATGCTTGTATAAGCCTGTAATTACAGTAGATTAGTCTAAAGCCAGTGATGACGCTGGACTTCACTGAGAAACAAATAGATTTGATGCAAGTTTTTATTTTAATGGTAAAATCTGGCACCAGCTGTGAAACGGACCAGCAGAAACGGTCTGAAATTGCTAAGAATAACATCTCGTTTCTTGAATGTTAATATTGTCATTTACCTTTTTCATTTTAATCATTTTCTTTATTATCTTTATTTCTTTATTTATTGCATGTTTTCATATTTTAATTTTTGCTTGTTATGTTTCTCTGTTTTTCTTGTTTTGTATTACATTCTAAAGTGCTTAACTTCTTAAATGTCCAGGGCCCAAAGCAGACCCAAAGTGTTATTACACTCTTCTAAAACCTAAGAATAGCTCAGCCAGTTTGCAATGTAGTCCATGTAATTACTGAATAATAAGTATGTTATAAGCCTGAGATTTTAAAGGGTTTAATATGATGAAAGCTGCCATATAAGTACAGTTATTAAAGTTTATTATTTAAGCATTTGTATATGTTTTTCCTTCTTCCGCGCTGCAGATTTATTCCAGCGGTCAGCTTCACCACTTCATTGACGGCTATGACGTCCAGCGCAGCAACTGGATGCGCTTCGTCAACCCGGCACGCTCTCTGGCAGAGCAGAACCTGGTGGCCTGCCAGAACGGCTGCGACATCTTCTTCTACACCATCCGGCCCGTGGAGCCCGACCAGGAGCTGCTGGTGTGGTACAGCCCCGAGTTCTCCCAGCGGCTGTGCGGACACGCGCCCTCGCAGCCGGACAGCCTGAAGACCAGTGAGTAGCGGCTACGCAGTTCATTTTGGTGACCTGCTTATAGAAACGAATCCCTTCAACTCTGAGGCATTTTATACAGTTACACTCTTCACTCTTAGAACCGCAGAACCACAGCAGAAACGGGTCATCAAGGGTTCTGTAGCAAAGGCAGTGGTTATGAATAGAACCGTGAGTGATTTGAATGCGTAAATGGTTTATTGCCTGGTTAAATGGTCTTTTGTGTGTGGTACTTTTTTGGAACTGTATAGAACCTTTTTGTTAAGAGTGTAGCTTCATAGTAGACACTGATTAACTTAGTAGTAGACAGTGAATAGATACTGAATAATCCATACTAGATAGTGAATTATTCATAGTAGACAACAAAAAATGAACAAGATACTAAATAATTCATAGTAGACATTGAATATTTTGTACTAGACACTGAATAATTCACAGTAAACAGTGAATATTGAGTTTTAAGACTGATGAATCTACAGTTTGAGTGCTTATGTTTTGTTTATCATATCACGACTTTGGACGAAATGTTAAAAAAGCAACTCAGCTGATTTTCATCAGGCGACACCAAAGTTTTCTAGTAATTCTATTTTTTTTTTTTACTTTTTGACCACCTGTATGTGGAGCACCTTCACTCGACACTCAGTACTTTCTTCGCTAGCGCGCTCAGGTTCTCAGCGCTGAATCTTTCTCTCTCGTATCTCGATCTTCTCCTGTTCCGTCACGGCCTGCTACGCTTTGAGTCACTTCACTCTCTTCTACACACTGTGTTCTATTTCTGTCATTCCCACAGTAACTGGAATCTCTGTGTTTCTTCTTTTTCTCGGTGGTGCATCAGTATTCAGTGTATCCTCTCTGCTCCTTTCTTCCTGTTTACGATTGGCGTTAGTCACTTTTTCCCACTACTGAGTTCAATCACCCCTCCTGCATATCTGTATCTCCACGTCAGCTGAGCGTGTGTTTGTTTGTGTGTATTTGTGAGGATGGGTGGGTGCCGGGGAGGGGCAGGAGGTCCGGGGGGGCCACCACTATGTCACGATATCGGTGAATGCACTTGTGATGTTACATCTTTGTCTACATCGAAGGAAGAGAAAGAGCGAGAGAGATAGAGAGAGATAGAGATCTCGATCAGCCCACGGTGTGCTGGTGTGTGTATGTTTGCTTGGAAAGAAGCGCTGCTGTTTTTTCAGGACTGAGATTCTTACTTTTCTCTATCTGTTCATCACGTCCTGTGAGGTTGGCAGGGAATAAAAGTGTTTGGAAAAGAGGGCGTGTTCTCTTTTGCAAGGAAAAACCTTGAGACACTGCAATTGGCACGTCTGCCAGACACACAATGGCCTAAAGTATGACACAGCACCGCTTCCTGTGCTCTGAGCGTGTACACACTGCTTATTGTTAAGGCCAGTTAACTGAGTCATGTGGACACATGCTTGACTGTAGAGCTCTCTCTCTTTTTCTCGCTCTGGTCAGACAATTGTGCCCAAATGTGGGACGTCCTGGTCCAGGAAGCAGCCTCCCGTGAAGCCCAGTGACTTTCCTCAAAACTTCTTCCTCTGAAGACTTTCGCATCATGCTGGCTGCTTTACATCTTTTACTTCCTGAATGAGATTCAGAGAAATCTACTGAGCCAAAAAAAGAGAAAGGGAAACAGAAATAAAAAAAGCCGCCACTGACTACTCGTCACGTCCCACTGCTGCTGCGTCACGCCATGAATCTCCAGACGGAGAGTAGTTCAGGTTAGATGACCATAAAAGTAAAAAAGCTCAGCTTGTTTGTGAAGCATAACAATAAATCCGAGACTCATTTCCAGTGTCCTGGAGCCCCCAACACAGTTAAGAAGGTGCTTTATCTCAAAAACCATGTCTTTGTTTTCTTACTAAAACTTTCAGGATTAGTCAGAGCCCCAGCCTCAGACCCTCAGTCTCACTTTTCATTTTTTAACGTGATTTGAAAACACCAGGTGCAACTTACTTTGTTTCAAAGTTTCTTGATGAACAGACCAACAGAAATGGTCCAAAATTACTTCTGGTTTCATTCACTGCCATTAAAAGTTAAGAACTCCTATAAAGTTACCATGTTTTGTTCTGACTGTGATGATTTATGTTTACTATAATCATCACACTGTTGCTCTGCAAGGCTGGGAGTTTCTTATTTACAACAAGTCACCTGCAGATTACTCAGCACGTGTAAACTGGACATTCTGGAAAGTCAGAGGGAATTTCTGATTGTTTTTGTTTGGGCATTGAGGTTAAAAATGCAAAAAAGAGCCAAGAGATCTAGCTCCCGATCAGTTCTCTGCTCTTTGTAACCGTCTCTGTTTGGGCTTTTTCACTTTCCTCTCTGGCGACACCACAAGCAGACATTTGCCTGTAAAAGGCTGCGGCAGACTGGTTCACACCAGGTTTGAGGAACCGGCCCTCAACCACAAGGGTAATAATCTGCTTGTGTAATCTCCTTCCCTCGCCGTGGGAGAGAGTGGATGAGGAGGCCGCCGTCTCTGATTGGGCAGAATTCGAGTCACGCTCGTTGTTTCTCCTCGTGGCCGAGAGAAGCCGGTGGTTTTCTGTTTATCTGGCATGGTGAGGACCTGATGCGGCGATGGAGGATTTTTCCTGCGGCTGGCGACTCAGTGAGTCAGCATCGCGTCTGACTGAGAAGTGTAACCGCTGCGCTCGGCTCTGTCTTCTCATACACACACGCCCACGTACATTCGCTTGTGCACACCCCGTGAACTCCCACACGGCGCTGTCATCAAGGTGCTTTGTGATAGCAGTACTGTTCTGTACGTCAGATAGAAACCAGCAGCGTATCTCCTGCCTGTCAACCTAAAACTGAAAGAGGTGCCATTTACCATAAGTGAGGCCGTGAGGGAGAGGGTGATGAGTAGGTGTGTGACGGTCCTGTTTTCGGGGGAGACGCAGTCAGTGTTTTTTTGTTTTTGGTAACGTATACAATAAAGAGCAGATAGCGCGCCGTGAAGAGCCCTGTTAAAGAAGGATGGGTCTTATGTGGGGAGGCACTGTAATTTGAGTAGTTATTGACAAGATCTGTGACTTTTATCCGGTATGAGTCTGCAGCATTTGTAGTTTTTACGCCTTGACAGTAATAACTGTGGAGCGATTTTAATCCAGTATGAATCTGCAGTGTGTGTAGTTTTACAGTTTAACAACTGTGGAATACACTGTGTTTGTGTTTATTTCCATGCTCTGCATCTGACCGTCCCTTTTTCTTTATGCTCCCTTTTGTAGAGCATCTGGGTGGCGACGTGATGGAAGCTGACCTCCAGAAGCATTACCTACCTCAGTGGACCTGCTGCCCCAAACGGGGACCAAGCCCTCACAGGCCCCAGAGCCGGGACGAAGCCAAAAAGGAGGAGAAGGAGGCAGAGGAGAAGGTTGATGTTGAGGTCATTGAGAGGGATACACCTCCAGACACACCTGACCAGCACGTGATGGACTTCAGTAAGAAGGTTCAGCCCGAGGTGCCCAAAGCATCCCGCCCTGATCTGAGCCCCCAAACCTTCGGCGTGCATCAGGACCTTCCACTGCATCTTCACGGCCTCTACGGCTACAGAGAGAGGCCCGTAACTTACCCTCCTCTGCCCCCTCCAAGACCTCTACAGCCCCCCTACCAGCTCCTGCCACCTTATAGCCCCCATTACTCCCGCCTGCTCCTACCCCCGTACTCCCCTCCATATCCCCCTGTGCTGCCCCCTAGAGGACCATTCCGGTACAACAATGTTCTGGGTAACGATGCTTTGCCTTTTCCACCAGCAACCCAGCCGGGTCTTCTGCCCGTCAGCATGCCCTATCCTGCCCCACCTCCTCATGGTGGCCTGAAGGAGAGACCCCCAAACACCTCCCCTCCCCAAGGTGCCCCGGCCACTCCCGAACTCTCACCCCTGTCCAAGCTCTCTTCCCCTGAGCCGCAGCTTGTTCTGCAGCAGCCCCCATCGGCCTGTGAAGAGGCCATCAACCTCAGCCTGGCCGCCGCAACCAAAAACAGCTCTTCATCTTCATCATCCTCACGGCATGCACCCGGGTACAAGTCCCTCCCCTACCCGCTCAAGAAGCAGAATGGGAAGATCAAGTATGAGTGCAACGTCTGCTTCAAGACCTTCGGCCAGCTTTCCAACTTGAAGGTGAGCGAGATGGACGCTGTCCTTAACGAACTGCAAGTGTGCAACGAATACAATTCGTTCCTAATTAACATTTCTACGCAGGTGCATTTGAGGGTACACAACGGAGAGAGGCCATTCCAGTGTCCGCTGTGCAAGAAGAGCTTCACCCAGCTGGCCCACCTGCAGAAGCACCATCTCGTCCACACCGGAGAGAAGCCTCATGAGTGTCAGGTGGGTTTTGTTGCATGAAGTGAATCAATCAGCGCACCATATTAACAAACTGACGTTTGTGGTCGTGCACTTATATCGAGTATATTAAGACAACTTCGTACGAATCTGAATTTTATAATCAGAATTCTGAATTACAAGGCCAAGACTCATTGAGTCATGAGCAGTAATTGAAAGACCTTTGTGCACTAGAAAGAAAGATTGTTAGAAAGAGAGGCAGGTGTGAGTTAGTCATGCACAGGGACACACGCCCAGACCATTATTTATTTATCTGTGGGTACTTTCACCTAGTGTCCCCAGGCACCTTTTAAAGAAAGCCTCGCCTTTGTTGTTCATTAACCTGGATGGGTGTACCAGCAGCGTCATGCTGTGAGTTCCTTTTATGCCTTAGCTATGACGCACCCTCTCGGCCGAAAAAGAAACTGATCTCACATGAAAGAAATCTGGCGCTCCTCCTGCATTCCAAGCCTGGATGAAAGGCCGTTACAGTAAAGCTATAGGTTATGGCCTGTTGTCACACGCCTTCTGCTTTATTCTATGTCTTACGTAACCTTACCTCTCGTTTATGTAACAACACTAAAGCTGTTGACCTGCAGGACTTAGAAGTGAAATTTTTTTTATTTCGAGTTTGCCTTCCTGTCCCACCAACACACACCCTGCTGTACAGCTGGCTAATTAGAGCGAAATAAAAGCGTCTCACGTTTTAACTGTCTAACACTCTCATGTTATGATATGTTAAATGGGTTCAAACATAAATGGCACTTCATGCAGTGCAGTGTACATCATTAAACCATGCTGTAGTTTAAACCAGATGAATGATTATAATAAACTAAAGTTGATATCTAGCATATCTTACCTTTGAACAGCCTTCTTCACAGAGCTAATAATCATAGCTGTATGAATTTCCATGCTGCTCTGTCATGTTAGCCATGTTAGCTATTAGCTAATTAACACGTTTTCACTTCGGAGCTGAAAGTGATTTTGTACCTGTTTTGATTACGTTCCAAGATTAAATTTCGTTCCTACAGTCTCTAATCGCCGCGTGTCTGTTCTGCAGGTGTGCCACAAGCGCTTCAGCAGCACCAGCAACCTGAAGACGCACCTGCGGCTGCACTCGGGAGAGAAGCCCTACCAGTGCAAGCTGTGCAGCACCAAGTTCACGCAGTACATTCACCTGAAGCTGCACCGCCGCATGCACGGCTCAGCGTGCGAGCAGGCCCACCGCTGCCCGCTCTGCTGCCAGGCCTTCCTGCACCGCTTCAGTCTGGAGCTGCACCGCCGCTCGGGCAGCTGCCCGGCCACCGCCACCCGCCCTCAGAGCCCCGAGCTGCGCAGGACGGCCGAGCTGCTTGAGCACTTTGACTCCAGCACCGAGGCCAACGGCCTGGACGAGACCGCACCGGACGCCGAGGTGGACGCGGCGCTGGAAAGGTGGCTGGCCAGAAACCTGGCTGCCAGCCCGAAGGAAGACAGCAGGGTCTTGAAGACTATGGCTGCCATGGGGCAGCAGCAGGAAAGGGCCAGTGTGGTGCAGTTCTGCACCCCACCACGACCCTCGGTGAAGGCTGAAGAAGAGTAGAGGAAGGGAAGTGTTTTGGGGCGTCGAGCCTGGGGGTCCTCAACTCCATTCCTGGCCATTTCTGAGTATTTATTCCCTGCTGTGACGCATCTGACCCATCAGCGTAGTAAGAACAGTGGGGCACACTTGTGTTTGAAAAAGAGATATTACAGTTTGAATTTGATGACAAGGTTTTTTTGTGGAAAGAAAACTCACTGTCGGTGAGGAAAGTCACAAGAGCAGACTAAATAATTCCGTAAGAGCTGATCCAGCTAATCATGACATTATGAAGGTTTTACTGAGACAGATCAGGTGTGTTGCAGCACAGAATAAATACTGAAAGGATGGGCAAAAGTCGGGAACCACTGGCTCAGACGTTTCTGAGGACTTTTGACAATATTTCCAAAAATAGAGACTTGGGCAGCCTGTAGTAGTTGATGCCAAAAAGACGCCCTCTCTGGTGTAAAAAAGGGAACGACAGAGAGGATGGGAATGAAGAAGAAGAAGAAGGAGAAGAAGAAAAAGAGCAGCACCAAAAACTAAACAGCATTTCCAAAGACTTTGGCATGATGAGTAATTGCACTTCCACCTTCCGTCCTGCTGCGGAGCGAGAGGGTGACCGGCCGCGTCCTCTGTACTACTCCTTTCTTGTATTTTTCGTTTTGATCGGCAGGTCTGTGTGTTTATTAATTTATTACTGTGTATAGTATTTCTGTTCGACTTTAGCCACGAATCAAATGTGTGTCGATAGCATTTTTGTTGTATTTTTGTCTGTGTGTTGTTTTCTGTTCGGGTCACTGAGCTGTTGAAGCTTCCTCCAAAACCACTCTCAGGAATTCTGCTGAAATGTTATTCAGGGTTTGAAAGTCTGTATGAATATCAGGGATTTGTTCCACTCCAAAATCACGGTCATGGCCAAAAACTGGACTCCAAAGCTGTAGCTGTCTGAGAAACGACTCGAGGCACTCTGTGAATGTGAATGCTTTATTTATGCTCTTAGACTGGAGAGCTGTACGGAGCTCGGTATTCTGCTGATTTACTATTTATTGTTTGAAGCTCTTAGCGTTTGTTAGCTTGGTGTGTATTTGGGTCGTGTAAGGCTGGACACTTTGGTCCTTCTGACACATGCGAGCAGAACTGAAGGCCCCAGTGATCTCAGGTAAAATCGGCAAAGAAACTCCTTTCGTTCCGTTTCTTGTGCGAGAGGTGTGAGGTCGACGATGTTAATGGTTCGTTTTAATGTTGTTTGCTTTGTTTTTTTAATTTATTTGATGTTTAGCACTGGAAAAAGCAGGACCTAGATCCATGTGCGAGGTTACTGTTACGTAGCGTCAGCGAGGGCTAGTTTACTTACTTATTTTACTTTGTTTGTAGGATCGTTTTCCTGTACAGTTTGTTTACTTATTTTTGACTCAGCGTACAAGATGTTAATACTTTATATGTGAGAGACTATTTTCATTAAACTTTTATAATGTAGCACATTAAATATATTCTTTCTCAAACTCCACTGTGTCACTGTGTTTGAAACCAAATGCACACATAAAATCCCAAAATCCCGAAGTCAGAGTGTCGCCAGCAGAACTGCAGCAGAACTTCAGTCCATCCTCATCTCTCAGCACAGGAGCTGAAGTTCGTTAGACTTCTTCTCTTTTTTCTGATCAAATGTTTTTTTATTTTCAAAATGAGGCTCCAAAATACCAATATCGAATAGAGTGGTCTAGAGCAAGTAGCAAAATGGAGCATACAGCCCCCCACCATCCCCCATGTGACAGAAGTGCCCTTGAGCAAGACGGTGGATAGGGTTGCCCACCGCTCCGTGCTCACCTAGTGTGTATGTGGTGTTTCGCTGTCAAAATGCAGAAGTGAATTTCCCTGTTGTGGGACTAATAAGGGTCACTTCATTTTAATCTAATCTAATCCCCCACCCACCAATTTAAAATTGATCAAGAAGGAGAAAAAAACAGGTTAAATATACAAAATAATGCAAAACAAACCCTCAGATAATTAAATAAAATAATACAAAAAAACTCAAATAAATATATAAAATAATACAAAAACTCAGATAAATGTATAAAATGATGAAAAAACATCCTCAGATAAATATATGAATTATAAAAAAACATCAGATAAATATATAATAATACAAAAAACCCTCAGATAAACATATAAATTACTACAAAACAAAATTTATAAAATAAAATTTAAAAATAATCCAAATTAAATAAATAAATAAATGTATAAAATAATACAAAAAACCCCGAATAAATATATAAAATAATACAAAAAAAACTCAATACTCAGCTTAATACAAAACAAACCCTCAGATAAAAATATATAATAATGCAAAAAATCCCTGATAAATATATAAAATAATAAAGAAACAAACCCTCAGATAAATGCATAATATCATGCAAAAAAAAAAAAACTCTCGGAAAAATATATAAAATAATAAAGAAACAAATCTCAGATAAATATATAAAATAATACAAAACAACAAATATAATACCAGCTGAAATTCTACACTAATGTTGATAGAAATTAAACAGGTTCTGTGGGAAAACAAAACTGCCCCAGTCCGCTTTTGCTTTATGGTGAGGACCTCGAGGCCCACCGTACACACAGCCACGGTCTACAGCACGTCAGCAGGTAAAAACAGACCACCAGGGTTTTTATAAGGTGCTCAGGATAAAGCCTGCCTGTAATCTCACGCCAAGACAGCAGCAGTGACCCGTCACTGTGGATACATACATAACACGATCTCTCAGCAGTCACTGGTGCAGGACAGATAAAGAAGCCCGCAGGTTTGGCCAGAATATCTAACCTCATCAAATAACAATCCAGGCAAGTGAGATGAAAACAAGTGAGCAGTGCTGTTCCTGTGAATACCGGATTATGCATTGTAAGGATTTCAGTGCACTTCCCCATTAGAGACCTTTAAATATCGTACTTCTAGTGTTAGCTAAGGGAGCTAACAGGGCTGCAGTGGGACTTGTTTTCAGGCCTGGAGTCACCGGATGCAGACCAGCCCACCCCAAACTCTACACACACACACAAAGTGGGTAGAGCAACTTTGTAGATACACTTTCAAAACACACAATGCTGGTACATCAGGCTGTAGCCTATTTCTAACAGCAGTGCAGTCCTTACTCCACATATTCCAACACTTCCGCCCTTCCCGTACCCCCTCAGACATCAGGCTTCGTGCTATGTACCCCCCCTCACTCCCGCTATACACACATACACGCGTACACTGCCATGATGCGTATGTACAACATTTTGACCTATAAAACAATTCACATTGGCACAACACACTAGATGTACACTCTCAGTAATAAAGGTACTGAACTGTCACAGGGCTGGTACTCCCACTCACGGGTACGTCTTCGAGACCTTTAGTTAGGGAACATAGTTGTACCACATTTGTTTGCAATTATATGTTTTTTGAAGTCACATTGATTCTATATTCTCCATCTTGACTCTTTTTACTTTATTTTTCTATTGTTAAAGTCTTTTTATAAAAAGGTCAAATGTGTCCCTTTCTCCTGGGAAGGTAAATGTAGTGCATGTAAAACTCATTTAAGGGACAAAATGTAGCCTTGAGACCATTACTGTGCCTTTAAGGGCCCTTTTACATCACATGCATTTTTGTTCATGTTTACCTTAAAATGTATAACACTTAGCAAAATAAATAATGTTAGGATTGCTTCTGTACTGCTGTATAGGTCAGAACTCAGGACTGTGGCATAAATTATACATACAAAAATACTTTTAAAATTCTTTCTCTAAAGAAGAACCCAAAATGGCTTCCTTCCAAACACTGAAGGGCTAAAATTTCATGATTGTTATGCTTTAATCCCTTAAATGGCCGGGGTTTCAAACATCAAAGGCTCAAAGATGCCGTAGTTCCTGAATAATAAGCCTTAGTATGTAAACCTGAGATTTTAAGGAGTTAAACTAACTGTATGGTGTAACAGTGCAGGAGTGGGGTCACAGGTCAGCCGACTAATGTCTTTGACCACCAATATCACTACTGTTTCTGTGATAATCAGAGGAGGGCACGAAAAATGTTTGTAGACCATTTTTATCTCACCTTTGAAGACTCGATGATTTGAAGCAGACGTTTGCTTTGACATTTGAACACTGTAAGCATCAAATTCACAGGCAACAGCAGGGACATGGGAAGTTTTATATTAGTATTATAATAATTTGGGCATAGTAGAGACCCATGTGCGCTTGTTTTAGAGCTTAGTTTGAATGTTTATCCTTTCAAAATCTGCAGTAGCTGCACTGTTTATGTGAACACCATATTTTCATTACAGTGAGCCGAAAACAGCCGATTGCTTTGGGGCACGTCCTCAAACACATGCAGGTTGAGGTGCAAAGAGAGAAAGTCTAAGCAGAGATGAAACTCCAAGGAGGCCTAATAGTGTTTTTTAAACGATAAAAAGTCATTTAACATAATAATGAAGCTTTAATACACTGTTATCTCCTGCTCTGTGTGTGTTTCAGCGTTAAATCTCAGTGTGTGACTGTGAGCATGACACAATCAGCTACACCACTATATATCAAAAATCTGATTGGTCGCTGCTCAGATCATTTGCATAAAGTATCTACCGTCCTCTCTTGCCTCATTATAGCACCGTATGACACGCTCAGTGTCACGTTTATTAGCCAAAAGAAAAAAAAAGAATGACAAAATGGCAAATCATTTTGCATGATGTAAACAGGTAGAAAATGATGTATTCTGCTTTTAAACGATCCTAATCTCACTTTTACACAAGCGTGTTCTGCACGCAGCTTTAGTGTCAGTTTCAAACACTGATGGCTGAAGAAAACCGAATGCTTGAGACAATGGAGGATAGCAACAAGTGCTAAGCTGTGATGGAAGGGCTGATAAAAATCAAACGAAAAATAAGATTGGATAAAAAAAAATACATAAAACAGTGTCAGCACTCACAGAAAACAGATTTCATTAACTTGAAAATACAGCTTAATAACTATCCGTTCCCCCGTTTGTTTGGGTAGGACTGAGATCAATCTGGGGAGACCCAGCTGCACCCCTGCCCATACGTGACTACACCAGAAAAGCACAGATCAATCAGGATTACATAAGTGAGTAAATGGAAGCTGTCACTGCACAGCTCTGCCCATAAACTCACACACAGCTTCCACCACAGGTATTCCTGAAAGTCCCCTTAAGCATCTCTGTGGTCATCTCTGTGGTTAACTTTCTAGAAAGCTGAGAGCCCCTGCTCGGGCAGGCTGGGACAAAAATACCCACACAGCTTGTTTTGATTTTTCCAGAAATTGGCTGTCCTTTTTCAGCATGTAGTTTTCCTGTCACTTTACTGTTAATATGATTTAATGTCACAATAACATGAAGCAGTTCTCAGAATGGAAAACCTACACCGGCCGAAAAATACGATTAATTCTGAGCTTATTTTGCTCTATTAATACTTACATCGTTCCAGTAGACTGTTACTCATACTGAGCAGGGTTTAAACTGACCTGACCTACAGCTTTAGGGTGATTCCATGATCGAGGTGCCATTTAGCTTCTGTAACTCTTAAGAGTTATATATTTTTTTCAAACAGTTAAAGAAAACAGAAAATGAAGTTAAATGAAAATTAACTTACAATTAAACTGTAAAAATGGGCACTGACAGTGTTGACAGTCTGAGTTTTGAGTTTTTTTTATAGAATTAGCAAATAAACAGGATATGGTTGAGTAACTGCATGAGAACATTAAGGACAATCTAACGATTTATTCTGGAATCTGTTTTTAAATGAATAAATTGGTTATTGTAAAGGTTGTACACAGTGACCTCATCACTCAGTATCACAACATCACTGAAAATGAAAAGAATTGGAGAACGTCCTGCTGGACATGTGACCTGTGGAATTTCAGAGGGTGAATGTGTTCAGGACATTTTTCATAAACCTGTAAAGAATGAGTCATGAAAAAAGTGTTCCAGGCATGATAGCCTTCACAGTTATTTATCTTCCTCTTATTCATGCTGTATTTTGTCCATATCTGCTGTTTTTCAAACACAAATTTAAAAACTGCAAAATAATTTACTAATTTTTAATAACTCTAAGTTTGGTTCCTCTGCAGTGAACTTCGGGGGAAAAAGTGCTGCACAGACTTTACTTGATTCACATGTACGCAGAATTTCACTGATACTTCATGTTATTTGTGTGTAAATCAGGTAAACTCACCACGTCATTTCTGACGCATTACTTCAGCACAAGTTTGTCTACCAATTTACTCACTTTGTGCAACAATTATAAAATAGAATGAATGATATTTGTATGGAAATGATGGACGCGTTTGAATCCCACCTTGTTTTGATGCTGCCCTGTAGCCGAGCGAAAAAACTGCTCACAGACGGACGAACTCCTCAACTCCTCCGTTATCGGCAGCGTTAGGATCAGAGTCAGAGTCAGAGTGAGTCTGGGTTTAGTTTCAGTTTAACCCCTTATAGCGAAAAACACACATTTCA